TAACACTTAATTTAAATAGTTCCATGTTCCCCACATTTTTTTTGTCGAGACTAAACTTTTCGTTTCTCGAAACGAGTCTCTTTCCGGTATTGATAACTCCACAACCAGTACAGGTTCTATACTACTTTTCTGGACTGTCGAGCACCCTGGGTCAAACTTCTCATGTCCAACCCAATTCTCTTGGGTATCTCATTAGTCAATTTCTTTTTCTGAAATTATCTTTTAATTGATTCAGAATTGCCCAAAATGCGTACCCTTGTGGTACTCATTTTTTTAGCAGTTTCCCATTTTAACTGACTCGGGAAAATTTTGTTTCAGGAACTTTTGCTATTTTCCTTTTTTCTAATATTTCTACTCTTTTTCTAACTGGTCATTTGGTCACAAAAAAAATATTTCAGTTTTTCATAACTAAAATATACCTGTTAAAATTTTTAATTTTTAACAGATATTTCACTATTCATAACTAATATTTACGAATTTTCTTTGTAAAAATATTCGTATTATAACCTTACACTTTTCGGGAGATTTTACCCCGTACATAAAGTTTCTACATAGCATTTCCTTGATCAAACTGAAAATTCTACTGTTTTTCGTTCCGGAAGAATTTATGGTCAAATTGCCGAACTGTCCAGATTAGACCTGAAATTTTCCCGGTCGTTACAATCCTTAATGAGATAGAAGTCTAAAATAAGATAAACCTAAAAACAAGATAAACGCAAGCCTAAAGCTTATCCTAGGGAAGGAATCCGAATTTGACTCCAACTCATTCCTTCTAAACTCCTAAAGATAATCTCTTAAGGAAGGAATCCGAATTTGAATCTAACTCATTCCTTAAAAACGCCTATTATGCAATATAAATGTTTAAATTGAAACTTAAACCTAAAAAGATAGGATTATGATAAAAGGCAAGTCTTTATCCGTAATTTGACTTTATCCCAGGCTGGAAAACACGCCCAACTTCTTGAAATTCCCTTTTGCACGTGTATCCTGGATTGGGATGCAAGTGGGCCATGCATGGCTCAATAGACGTGTACAAACTTTTGCTATTTTCCTTTTTTCTAATATTTCTACTCTTTTTCTAACTGGTCATTTGGTCACAAAAAAAATATTTCAGTTTTTCATAACTAAAATATACCTGTTAAAATTTTTAATTTTTAACAGATATTTCACTATTCATAACTAATATTTACGAATTTTCTTTGTAAAAATATTCGTATTATAACCTTACACTTTTCGGGAGATTTTACCCCGTACATAAAGTTTCTACATAGCATTTCCTTGATCAAACTGAAAATTCTACTGTTTTTCGTTCCGGAAGAATTTATGGTCAAATTGCCGAACTGTCCAGATTAGACCTGAAATTTTCCCGGTCGTTACAATCCTTAATGAGATAGAAGCCTAAAATAAGATAAACCTAAAAACAAGATAAACGCAAGCCTAAAGCTTATCCTAGGGAAGGAATCCGAATTTGACTCCAACTCATTCCTTCTAAACTCCTAAAGATAATCTCTTAAGGAAGGAATCCGAATTTGAATCTAACTCATTCCTTAAAAACGCCTATTATGCAATATAAATGTTTAAATTGAAACTTAAACCTAAAAAGATAGGATTATGATAAAGGCAAGTCTTTATCCGTAATTTGACTTTATCCCAGGCTGGAAAACACGCCTAACTTCTTGAAATTCCCTTTTGCACGTGTATCCTGGATTGGGATGCAAGTGGGCCATGCATGGCTCAATAGACGTGTAAGAGTAATTGGCTCTCTTCTGGAATGGCTCAGTGGACGTGTAAGACTAGTTGGCTCTCTTCCGGATCGACTTTGATGAGTATTTCTTGCATCCCTGATGTTCACATCAGGGGCGGGGGAGGGGCGGCGGGTCGTGGCAGCAGGAGCGGGGCGGCGGGAGCAGGTCGGCGGGAGTGGGGCGGCGGCCGGAGATGGGAACAAGAGGGAGAGAAAAGGGAAGAGAGAGAGAAATAAGGGAAGAAAGAAGGGAAGAGAGAGAAGGGGAGAGAGAGAATGGAAGAGAGAGAGAAGACGGCAGGCGGCGGGGGCGGCGGCGGTGGTGAGGGGAAGAAGAGGTGGAGAAAGTTAGAGAGAGAGAGAGAGACTGAAATCAGGAGAAAATGAAGTGGAAGAAGTTAGGGTATAATAGATCAGACTTATTTGCGACGACATTGTCGTCGCAAATAAATTTAAAATGTCGTTGCAAATACCCTACATCTGAAATTATTTGCGACGACATAATGTCGTAGCAAATAATCATTTTTGGTCAAATGTGTGTAGCTTATTTGTGACGACAAAGAGAAAATATCGTCGCAAATATAGTGATATTATTTACGACGACACATGTCATCGCAACTAATAAGATATTTGTGACGACATGTCGTCGCAAAAAATGGATTTCCTTTGGCGGCAAAAATCTGCGCCATTGGAAATTGCGTGCCTAAACTATTTGCGACGACATTGAACTTATTAGCGACGACATGCTTAATTTATTTAACGAGGATTAATTGCGACGTCATGTCGTCGCAAATAATGAAATATTTATGACGACATATGCCGTCACAAATAATGTCGTTGCAAATGACCTTTATTGTTGTAGTGACGTGTTACGGAGTTAAATTTTGAAGGAGTCAAATATCAATTCTGAAGTCAAAAAGGTACTTTTCTATGAACAAAGATAATATTTAAGACTTTAATGACTCAAGTCATATTATTATTGTATTTTCTCTCATATAAATTTAAATTTAATTTTTTTATTACAGTATTTTTCTCTCACATATATAGCTCAAGTCATAACTTGAGTTATACAAATAAACACACATTTAATGTCACCAATGAATTGCGAATAAGTTGTGATAAAAAAATTAACATTGAACAAATTATAATTTCTTAACTTAGGTCGTATCTTACATGGCTGCACTGAAAATTTGAAAAAGTGATCAGAACAACCGGTCAAACACGGAGAGAAGCAATGGTGCATATGTAAGTAGCAACTCAAATGATAGGTTGTCTATGTATAAGCTAAAGTGCCTGCTAATAATTACATATGTAACCACTTTTAAATTTCTCAAACTTTGCAGTGTTGTATATATATGTCTGTAAGAACAAGACAACATTTGTCTTATCCAGAATTATAACGAAATTTCTAGTAACTTATGAGGTAGTTAACAAGGTATATAATATAAGATAAGATAAAGTCGGTAGACTTTAATTTGCTTATATTATATAGTATTATCTCGCAGCATATGATATATAAACAAGATTAATCAAGTGCGGCATAATATCGATCTTTCAATTATATATTCTCGAAATAAATTTGGTAACCGCTGAGGCTGCATGGAGTGGTACAGCTTCCAGAAGACAGTGGATCTAACGGAAACGTTCATGACAGTGCCAAATGAATGGCTGGGGACGTTACTGCCTAATCTAGGCCCTAACAGTACCCTCGAACCAATTCGAGTTCTGGACGAGAGGATAAACAAGATGTACACATTTTTGTTGAGGAAACGGCCAATATTAATAAAGGATGATCAACAATTACACTTGAAGCCTGTCTTTGAGTCTCAGGCATGGCTTGAGTTTGTCGTAGAGAACGGGCTTCGAAGTGGGGACACCCTTTATTTCTGGAAAGAGGGTGGCCGGAGCGCCGAAAACATAATTAGGGTACAGGTAGGAGGAGATCCACCACGTCTTTACAAGTTATTTGGCGTCATCTTTCGCTACTAAGACCACAATATGGCCGTCCCCATTAAGGTGCTTAATTGCTTATAGACCTAGTTATTTCTATGATAATTCTAGTGAAATTGGCTTTCAATTATAACAACAGTACTTTATGCTTATGCTTCTTTTTTTGCCTTTTTTTTTTGTTTTTTTTTTTGTATGTTCTCTCTTTCGATTATTTATTAATGTAATGTTAAGTTACTGTTAATTTTTGTTTGATGGAGGTAGGCACTTAACTATATATGTCTCTTCTTGTTGTCGTAGAATAAAGAGTGAAAAGTTTGCTCAGTCATGTGTCATTTTTTTAAGTAATTGATGATAATATATTTTGCTAATATATCAGATTGAAAGTACCGGTACAGATAAAAGAAGTACATCCTAATTACATAAGTACCCACTATTTATCCCTTCCTGCACTAAACCCGGCCTCATCCCTCAAAGTACTTATTATAATAAGAAAGAAAAAAAAAATACATGGTAAAAAGCCAAATTTAAAGGAAAGTCTAACAAAATATCTAAAGGAAACTTTAAAAGAAACCTAGCTACCAGGAAACAGTGATCTACTTTGCTTAAGAAAAAAAAAGGCTTGAAAGGAGGAAAAAAATAATGCATAAATAAACCTGGTCAGCAAAAAGAGCTGAAAATTAATTTGTCGTGAACCTGAAAAGTCGTATGATGCAAACCTTTAGTTCGAGAGACCTATCAAATATATGGACGAGTTTCAATGGTTACGTTTTTATGGTGGTTATCTACTGAAAATAGTAATTTGATAATGTGATGTGATAAGAATTTAATATATTAATTATTATAATTTTTTTAGTTAACTATCTAATTAATTATTACAATCATCGGATTAATATCTTAAGATTAAAATAACATTACCCATCGATGTATTAATATTAGAGTAACCAAAGTAATTTTGTTAATGCTTTTATCCATTTGTTATTTATACAGTTGATGATATGAAATCAAAAAAATTGAAAAGGCTTTTTCCCTTTTACTGAAATAAAATTTATTCTTGTTTTGTATTTGACGCTCCGAAACATATATATTATGTTGCACTCGAGTTCCTAATCCAATCTCATTCGATCACATGCATATAGAACTGGTTTTTGATCCAGAATCCAACATATATATGATATTTTATCTTATGACATTATATCTTACTAGATATAAAGCACCACGTGTATATCGTTACTACTCTGTAACGTAATTATTATTCAAATCCAATCTCAAACACCAATGGTACTTGAGCTAACCAAAGTACGTAATATTAGTCGTCATTAACCCTTCGGCAGTTGAATCTAATTTCTCCATAAGTACCGGTTAGTGGACTTATATTCCCCATCTTGATCATCGATTTCGCAAAGCTCTTAAAGAAAGTAAATTGGGATGCACTGAATCTGTTGACAATGTGGATGGTATCAGCTCCTGGGGTGGAAAACAAGGCTTGATCACTTGTGAGAAGACCTTTATTTGCTCGAAGAATGGAGTAGTAGGTATTGTCAAAGCCATCTGGTGTAATGGGGTCTTGATTTGCTAAGGTGGTCCCATTCCCGTTCCGGGGGCACAACCGACGTAGTCTCGCTAGGAAGGTTGGGTTCAACGTCGGGTCAGGCGCACCGGTGTTGCTGAAATTGTACAGTCGATGTTCGATTATTCCGCATTGAACCCTTCCGAATGTGTGAGCACCTGAAAGAAGATTCCTCATTTTCTTTTTTGTAAATGAAGAGAATATGTCACGATCGATCAAGATTTCATGATTACCAGATAATGAGACGAGGTCGATGGTGGGGTCGAGGCCAACAGCGGAGAATTTGGATTTGAGAACGTCAAGGGTATCAAACCCGACTGGAATTGCAGTATTTGCACCACTTCGGTTAGCTATTCTGCTATCCCTTCTTCCCACTCGGACTCTCCACGAAGGCCCTCCTGACTATTCATATATACATATATATACTCTTATATAAGTAATTATGTAAACATATATATATATATACATTATGTATATTATTACCAGACAAACAGATTCTGCAGCTGCCATTGCGAGTATGTCAGCACACGAGACAGTCGCGGGGCAAGCCCTCTCAACTTCAGTCTTTATTTCATCAATAACATCAAAACCTCTTACTGAGTTGTTATTTGGCAAAGCTTCTTTCTCGCTCTCTATCTTATCTGCATTGTCCAGCAAGATTGATCCATCACAACCCTGAAAACATAACCCAGTTACAACTTGTTTATTCTTTTCTTTAGCAATATAATATATAATTCATGACAAATCTTCTTTATTAATTCAAGAGAATAGTGATTCATTAAGCGGGTTTATTTGATTTATCAAGAACATCCAATTTTCAACAAAAATATTAAACGAAAAAGGAAAGAAAAAAACAATAATGATGATGATTATTAGGGTGATTCATTAAGCGGGTTTATTTGATTTATCAAGAACATCCAATTTTCAGCAAAAATATTAAACGAAAAAGGAAAGAAAAAAACAATAATGATGATGATTATTAGTTAGAAAGACTTAATTATATGTTAAAGTAGTTACATATATCTAATGATCCAAGTAGGTACGTATTATATACGAGAAAATGAGAATACCGTACCAATGATTCAATACTTAAGAATATCCATATATATATATATATATATATGTGTGTAGTGCTTAAGAGTACTCGTGTGTGTGTGTCTACATATATAATTAACAACTATTCTAATCAACGAAATAGAGAAGATTAATATATGAGTACGTTAACGAAGCAATCGTGGAAATGAAGCCTCGCCAAGCTAGCTGTAATCCTAGGATCAGTCCTGTACTGAAAACGTCTAACGACTCTGCGTACAATGGCTGTTACTCTAGGGCAGGTTGTAGCATAAAACGTTGCACTCAGGCGCTGATGATCCCGATCACGATCATGAATATAATTACTGTAAGACACTGAAATTCCTCCAACAAAAATCAAGAAGAACAAACCTGCAGCCACAACTGACTTGAAAGCAGACATGATAATTTTAAACGATATATTTCTTAATTAATTTGATTATCAAATGACCATTCAATCATGTCAAAGACTGAATGCTTGCATGCTCTTATTTATATGTATTATATGGCAAAAGGCCGTCAGACTTCTTATACATACATTACTAACTCTTCCATGCATATTTTTGCTTCATTTTAAAAAAAAAAAAAAAAAATCTTGATTGCTGATCAAAAAGTTTGTTTAGCAATCGACATCTAATTAGTCATTAACACAGAAGTTCAAGACGTTGAAAAGTTTCTAGAATAATAGAAAAAATCAAAAGTAGGTGTACGGGTGGCGAAAAGCTTTTTGTTTTTTCCTAATTTCCAACAGAGTTACAGATAGAAGGCAATAAAATGGATTTGTCATATATATATATATATATATATATACACATATTTTCTGACAAGGGAATGAGGTTGGAGACAGGCTTGATTCATGTGCTAAGACAATTTAGGATTTCATATAAATGGCGGTCTTATTCCGTCATAATTCTGAAATTGACTGCATGTTTCTCTTTGGCGTCCGCGTTTCCATGATGCTCATCAATTTTCAATGATTTCTTCTCAATTTGTTGTGGTGGGCTCTTTGATGGAGTCTTAATTTGTATAGTCGTCTTTATTTCAAGGGTAGATTCGGCTAAAATTAATGTCATGCACACTTTTTGCTTGTTTGGATTTATTTCTTTCTACTGGCTGGGTTTTATCTTTAGTAAGGTTTTAACGATGCCTCCTCCCTGGAGTGAATTTTGGCGTTTTCTCCAAACTTATTAGTTTCACTCCTTTTTCAGTTTCGGTCGTGTTCTTCTTTATTATTGTTTGAGAAAAGAAGACAAATATCCCTTAAAATGCAAGAGTTTTAGAATTTTGGCGTTTTCTCCAAACTTATTAGTTTCACTCCTTTTTCAGTTTCGGTCGTGTTCTTCTTTATTATTGTTTGAGAAAAGAAGATAAATATCCCTTAAAATGCAAGAGTTTTAGATTTTCACCCCTTATTCTTGATTAATACCTTTTAAGCAAGTAATTATAGAGTATTAATTAATAATAAAGGGTAAATTAAAATCTTAGAACATTATATGTCCCGTAATAGGTCTCATTCTTTTACTATTTTCTGGGAATCAATGACTATTCATAGCTATTACCTTGACACTAAAGAAAAGTTCGACCCAATGCTTCATTTCTTTTCATCACAGTGAATTTCTAAACCGACTAAAAATTAACGTTAACTTTCGTATTAAAGGTGAGCCAATTATATATGAATCAAATCTATTGCTTTTGTTTTTTTTGTTTTTTTTTTTTTTTCCCGTTTCTTCTAGGACGTTATATTGTTCTGCTAGCTATAGAATTAGAGCATCTAACTAATTCTTAGCAGTTCATCATGGGACAGTGTTGTAAAGGGATGTTAATGACCTTATTTCTCTGGTTATTTCAGATGGTTTTGTTTATCTCTCAAAGCAAACAACTTGAGGTACAAATTTTAAGATTCCTAGCTAGCCCATTTTCGGCTTTGCACTGGGTCTTCCAAAGCTCTCAAACGGCTCCTCAGTAGTTGCTTATGATGGCGATGCTTGGCGGTGGTCTTTTATTGTTCCGTGTTTTTCAGCTTGTAATAATGGTGTTTATCAACTATTGTTTTTGGTCTTCAGCTTGTTTGTTTTGATCTTTTGGGTAGTTTCCTTGTTTGTAATAAAAGTGGCGGTTTTCTCACCTAACCCTCGTTTGGTTTGGACTTTAGTGTTGGAATTTGGCGATCGGCTTAAGGCCGTTGTCTAGCTAGCTAAGTTTTGTTTGGTGGGTGATCTACCCTACGTACATAGAAGATTTGCTCCGTTATTAGCTGAGTGATGTCCCATTAGTTTATTGTGGTGCTATTCCGGTTATATATATATATATATATATATATATTTTGTATTTGTTTATGAATGAATTGAAAAGTCATGAGTAGTCTATTTTTACCAAATTCCTTTCAGTCTGATTTCCAGTTATTAGATTTGAGGAATACAATCGAAGCCTTGCAAAACTGTGATTACCAACAAAAATTAAGTGGTGTCATACATTCATTAGTTTTTCTGTCTTCATCGGTGGACATCTCACGTAATAGAAGTCAAAATGCACGTAGGAGACAATTGTGTGTCCATTTCTAGTTAGAGATTTTACTTGATAAGGCGATCTCGAGTATATCTTGCCATCTCGACGGCCTTTCAATGGAGTTGATCTTCTGCTAGTTGGCAATTAATTGTGATTCAAGCTTCAAACAGAAAATAAACTTACCAAACGCTTGTAGATTTAGGTTTTTTTTTTTTTTTTTTTTTTTTTTTTTTTTTTTGCACATGAATACCGCCTCAACTTTTTAAATTTAAAAAATTGGTCTTCATTTTTTTGTTCCCTGATAATTGACCCCTTCAACTTTTAAATCTTTGTCTAATTGAAAGCAATGTTTTTTTAAACGATTCTAAACATGTCATGCACATGTAAGTTATGTTGCAATAAATTTGATTAATTGCGGAACCGATAAATCTGGTGGTTCTTATATTAAAACAATTGATAAATTGTTGAGACGGATAGTATTGGATCTCAACTACTTCTCAATAGCTGTCGTCTGATCGTGACTCTTGAAGTTGATTTGTTTGGTGTGAAATATAATGAAAACAACGTTAGAGAAAGTACTCACGTAAGTTAGTTAGAAGCTCCTTATTTCAAGTTTATAACTTAAATTAATGGATCTTCTTGTAATTATTGCTACCTTTTTTCCCCCTTTTTGACGTTGGTAGAACGGGACACATGTGGCTATGTATTTCTATTTTTTTTTCTTGTTTTTTTTTTGTTGTAATTTTTATACCAAAAGTAATTTATCGCTGAATTGCTTAACTGAATGAATAATTCATTTCCTACATGCAATTACTTGCTCGTAGGGGTGGCAATTCGTGTCACGTGACGTGTTCGTATCGTGTTTTGATCATTTTTTTAAAATTTACAGTTAATCCGAACACGACCCGTGACACGAAATTTTTTAAAAACCACAACACGAACACGATACGATCACTTTACGAGTTGACACGACACGACCTGAAAATGACCCGTGACACGAAATTGAACCGTGAATCTGAAATTGACACGAAAATTGTATACTTTTATTTAGTTTTTTACATATTAGAAATAACTTAAAATTCATAACACACTAAATTACAATAACATCCATTGAAATTAAGCAAATAATAGTATAAGATTTTGAGTATAACTATCATGATATCACAAGTTCATAATAAAATTTAAAATATGTAATGAAAAATATATGTATTTTTTAGTTTTTTACGAGTTTCGTGTCGTGTTCGGGTTAGGCGGGTCCAACCCGAAATTGACATGTATTTTTCGTGTCAATTTTAAGTCGACCCAATTCTGACCCGAACCTCTTCTTTTTTCAACCCTAACCCGCAAAATTCATGTCGTTTTCGAGTCGTATCGTCGTGTTGTGATCCATATTGCCGGCCCTACTTGCTCGTGATCTAATTAATTACATGAATCTTTGAGTACTATAAATGATGTTCTTTCCTTTTTTAAAAAGAAAAAAGAAAGAAAGAAAGAATAATAAAAGAAATGACGTTCTTTCTAGCTCCAGCATTTCCTAAATGTTCGGTACATAAATTCGTTTGCTAAATGTTCTCTGCAATTCCATTCATTTTTTAACAAAACAAAACAAAAAAAAAAAAAAAAAAAAAAGAAACGAAACGCTGCTCTTTCACAAAATCAACCGCGCGAATTACAATGGGAAGAGCTCATCTTATCCAAATATATATTCCAGTGTATATATTTGTATTCTACCACAAATTAAAACATAATTAAGCTGCAATATATATTTAATAAATTAAGAAAATAAAACCTTATACAAACAAGATAATTAAGCTTGAAGCCGTCACACACACAAAGAAATTTATTCTAAGCAAAAGTAAAAACCTGAATCACGCAGGCATTGTTTAATTTTATCTAGGAGAAATGATAGCCTTGAGAGGATTCTTCATCACAACCGTGAAAGCAAAGGTCTCCGTCGGGTCGGGCTGGAAAACCGGAACCGGTAACCACTTGAAAGCCTGCACCATCTTTGCGACCAGCAAGTTCACATGCAAAGTGCCCAAACTCATGCCGGGGCAGATCCGCCGCCCCGCCCCAAACGGCACCATCGTGACCGCCCTCGTCCCTGTCACATCCACGTCAGCACCGTTCCGCTCCAAGAATCTCTCGGGTCGAAACTCTCCCGGGTCCTTCCACAAACCCGGATCCTCAGCTACCCAAGCAGTGTAGAACTCCACACTCGCATCCGCCGGAATAGTGTAGCCGCCGAGCTCCGTCTCCTCCACCGCCGAATGCGACAGCATGAAATGCGTCGGAGGGTGTCGCCGGAAAGTCTCCTTCACCACCGCGCCGAGATAAGTCATTTTCTCCACGTCGTTTTCAGTCACCACCCCATTTTCCCCCACAGTCTCCACAATTTCCTTATATATCGTCTCTTGAATCTTCTGGTTCTTCACCAAGTTAAACATAGCCCACTCCACAGCCGTGGCCGTCGTATCGGTTCCGCCATTAATGGCTTCCGAACACAGCGTCACGAGTTCATCCTCTCCCAAGCGGCCTCGATTAGGAACGTCAAGCTCGAACAGCGAATCAATATAAGCCGCACCAGCCGGACTGACCATCTTGTAATTATTCTGGTCAGCTTTATTTCCACCTCCGTTTTCCAAGAAAGCTTTTCTGTCTCTCAACAGAGGAGCCAAACACTCCAATTGTCTCTTCCTCACCTCTCTCGCTTCTCTCAGTTGCCTTCGGAACAACGGAGTAAGAACCGGCAAGAAATCTGGAAGCTTCGGAGTGCTCATCAACAGAACTTCTTTTAAAACGCTCTCTATCTTCTTAATCCGATCTTGCGATATCTTCGCACCGAAGCATATACAAATTAGGATGCTGCATATTGTGAGCCTGCAATTGCTCAAGACCTCAACGAAACCCTTCTCCGAAGCCTCTTCTCTGAGTCTCTTTAGCTGCTCCTCCACTGCCCAAGTCCGGATCCAATCGCACTGCTTTATCCGCATCGGGTTTATGAGTTCTGTCACGAAGTTCCGGCGGAGGGCTCGCCAGAGCGGGCCGTATTCCGCGGAGTTGATGGTGCATTTTCCTGAGCTGAAGATAAGGCGGATAGGGGAGTCGGCGGGGCGGTTGGCGAAGCAAGCGCCGCGCTGCACGGTGGCCTCGTGTATGAGCTTGGAGCTGGTGACGATTATTAGGGTTCGTTGTCCCATTTGCATGGTGAAGATGGGACCGTATTTTTTACGTAAGTCTCGCATCATGAACACGAAAGCTCGGCGGTAAAGAATGACTTGCACGAGGTTGCCCAACAGAGGCCATCCCCGTGGGCCCGGCGGGAGGTTCTTTGCCGCGCGCCGGCGTCGAAAATGAAAAAAGAATAGTGATAGGGTGACGGCGGCTATGATGAAGAAGAAGAGGTCCATTGAGACCGATGTTGTTGAGGAGATCTAAGTAGAAGAATCCAGAAATATTGTGTCAAGTGTATAAAGCTATAAATAAAAACAAAAAGTACGTTTAATTAAAGAGAGTGATATTATTCATCTTATCTATGTATTTATCTATTTATTTATTAAAGTTGCAAAAGCGTCCAATTTATTCATATCAACAAAAACTGCAAAAGGTCTGTAATTTAGTTGTGACGTGACTGATACAATTGTGCTAAATTTTAAACAATAATTTGTTAAATTAGCCCGCGGCCGGCCACATCTTTCAAATTATTGATAATAATATGTTAAATTACTTATTTTAATGGAGCAAAATTCAATAGATAGACTTAAAAATATTTAATAATATTATTTTAAGAATTATTTGTCAAAATTACCCTTCAGTATATCGTTGGAAGTCCAAACATTTGGCCTAATTATAGAAACCATATACTTCACCCACCAGTCACTCTCGAACTTAAGAATGCAGCCAAGTGTCTGTACAGTCGTTATGCAAATTCTATTTGCAAGCTATATTATATATAAAGACTACAATTATAAAGCATACAAAAATAAAGACGTATTGACAATAGTACCCCCTTAATTTTTGGCTCTGGCAATTTTCCCAAAGAATTTTGGTACTAGGCACTAATAAGTAGTTATAACGGAGTATGATTGTTGTGTATTAGTATTTAGCTTTGTTTTGGTAAAGTAGAACATTAGTTTCCGTCACATTAACATTGCGTGACAAAAATGCACTCCTTGTTACGAGGTACCCTTAATTAGGGGGAAAATTTTTCCTTACCTCACGCAGCAGCCACTTTTACAACAAGGTCGGATGACGCAACCATTTACTCATTAAGCCCATGAAAATAAAAACTAAGAATGTCCAATTTACTAAAAATGACAGTACATCCCATTGCACAATAAATTGTCGCTTTACATCATTTATGATTCACATAAACAAAAATAACCGAACATGTTTACGTATGAAAATTTTCAACCTATAAACCAAAATCCACCTAAAAGCCAGCTCATTTGTTTGCAAAAGCAAAAATTAGCCCCTTCAACTTGCATTTTGATCCTCCACTCTTAGAAAATTATACTCCAATCCATTTTTATTAAAATCTTTGCAAAATACCCTGGATCTAGTCCTAGAGAATCCAGATCTCGACCTCGCCCCGGTCCTGAAATATGACTCCAGCCACAATCCTAAACTCGACCTTGACTCCGGTCCTAAAATCCTAGCCCAACCCCTGATAGAAACTAGATCCCGATCCTAGTCTCGAAATGCGATCGTGACACTAAATTCAGGGTTTAAGCCCGACCCGCCATCAGTTCGGAACTCGGCCCTACACCTCGACCCCAATCCCAAAACTCGAACTAAGTCTTCATCCTATTTCCCGACCTCAATCTCAATCCGTGGTTTTATATTTTAGAAACATGTTTTTTAGTACGCTCTTTAAGTTAAATTATAGGGGGTTTTTTTTTATATATTACACATTACACTTTGTATTGCATTATTTTTTAATCTTGTACTGAATTATGCAGTGTATAAATATTTTCAAAGGTACCATACTATTTTTATATAATACAATAGGAAGTGTTAGCACTAAACATGTCCTAATAGTATTCTTTAATAGTGAGCAAGTGCGTGAGACATGATGTTAATTTTTTATGCAGAAAATTATTTTTTTAAAATCTATACTGAATGCGAAAACAGTGAATATAAGGTGGGTAGTGTTTCATAAAATAATGTAAAGACAGAGAAAGTGTATGTGGACAAAAGTTCAAGAAGATTAGTATTAGTTTTTCTTTTTAACTATAATTAAGTTGGTGGGAGGATATCATTGTTTGAGATGAAATGGTGAAGAAAGAGGACAAATTTTATGTTTTCTTCCCGAACTAAAAATAATGTCATAAAATGCTATCCGAACTTTAATTTTAGTTTTTTTCTTCAAGGAAAAAAAAAAGATAAAAGATTAGTCAGAATTATCAACGTAATTAGATTTTTTTTTTTTTTACAGGAACGTAATTATATTTTAATTATGCATTCTTGTTATCAATAATTATTGTTCTCCAACTACATTTTTTAATGGTACAGATTTGATCGTAACAATCACATGATGTACTGGGTGCAAGCAGTTGATCTGTGTCATTAAATTCGAGTAATTAAAGCCTACATAGTTGGAAAAATGTGAGCATTTATTTAACGGCAGAAAACGGTACACACCAATAGCTGTAATATGCTCAAGGCTATGGGAGCTTCAATCAGCTTTTAAGCTATAAAATAGGGGGGGCAAATAAAAGAAGACGGCAATGGCGAGATATAAATAATTGTGTATTTTAGCATACACAATATAGTATATATGTACAAATTGTTAAGCAGAATATCCGTTCCGAGTATCCAACATAAAATTATAAGGACTTCAAAAAAAATTTTAAAAAAATACAAGTATTAAAATTTCAAATAAATACGTACAACATTGTTTTAGTAGACAATTATCATAAACTTCCTATTTTCTTTTGCTTTTGTTCTTATAGATAACGTTGGTATATTAGGAAAACTAGTTAACGATATGTACATCACACACTGTATTCTAAGTAACTAATGGCATGTTCAATTATTAAGATTAGGGAATGGATTGGGAAATAGGAGTAAATTTCATATTTACTTGATCTATTTTGTTGTGAAATAGAAATAAATTGGTGGACCCCAATTTAAGATTAAAAATGGGATTGATAATCCTTATTCGAATTGGGACTCCCAACCTTGATAATAATAGTAAATTAATGTCTTTTTTTTAGTCCATATATATATATATATATATATAAATTTAGACTAAAAATACAAAAAAAAAAAAAATTGTTACAACCTAATTTATTATTTTGTTTACCTAATATTGCAGTACTAACCTAATTATTGTTAACATTATATTAAGAAATATGTAACTTATCATCTTATTGTAAGATATAGTTCAATTTTAGAGGATTTATTTTTAGTATTTTTATTTATTTTAGTAGAATTTTGATGATATCCTACTACTATAATGATTATTTTGATTATGGTTATCATTAAAATATCTAATAGATGTTTAAATACGTTACTATTTTTCTTAATTCTAAGAACTATGAAGCAAAGTAATTGATTTATTCATAAACTCTTACGGGCTCAACTATAATTTTCTTTAAAGCTTCGATTTTCAAAACCCTATATATATATATATATATAACTAGTGCTTAGATATGTACAGAACCTCAGGCTGACTGAACGGAAAGGAAATGAGACCCATGTATGAATTATGATAGAACTTAGAAGACTGGAAACTGGGTGAACGTGTAAGACAAAAACACACACACACACACAGATATATATATATATATATATAGATACACACACACACATACTTTGTAGTCACGTAACCTGTCGCGGTCTCATTGTTGTAGTGATTATATCTACTTTCTTACTCAACACATGACAAATTAAGAAAACAAAACTGGGTTTCTTTCAAGTTTATTTATATCAAATTAGTTTATATTAGAGCCACCGAAAATCCAAGAATCCATCAGAGGTCACGGTGAAAAGCCAATATTAATAATGTGTCAGCTCCATGGTTTTGCTGAAAATCCTCGAATATTTTTTCCCCACGTCTACATGTTTTTTGACCTTTTTCGGGTTGACTTATGAGAAACAAAAGTTAATCATTGTGGTCATTAGCGTTGATGCTGAAACTAATTGTCGTGAGACAGTTAAATGCAGAATCATTATTCTTGGGAACGAATGCTTATAAACTAATACCTTATAAAACTTAGCCCTTGTTTGGTACGAGGGTTTTGCCGATTTGAACCTAAGTGGTTTGAATCCAACCTAATAGAACTCATATTTGGTTCAAATCTGTTTTTGATTTCTGACGTGATCTTTTGACCCAGTTGAACTAAATAATAATAATAATAATAATAATATAAAAAGAATCGTCTTTTAATTTTGGTTTATTTGAATTTATGGTTCAAACTCAAAGATTCATAATATAAACCCTAAATTTAAATTTTATAATTCAAAACCCACATGAGTTAAACCCGAAAGTTTAGACACTCTGATTTGAATACTCAACTATGTTAATTTGCATGTGTGCTTTGTGAAGCATTTGTGTGTTTTGCGTATAATGACAAATTAAACAAACAAACCAATAAAATAACACACATACATAATATGCACAGTAGAAAGCTGCCAAACGAAAAAAGGTGATGCCTTTTTTTTAAGTTTTTTTTTTTCCAAGTACTCCAAAAACACTACACCGAGACCGAGTCAGCACTGTGTCTTGGTTTCATTTCCCAAGATTTGTCAGATAGTCGTCATTTACTCACTCACTCTCCCCGATCTCCACTTTTGTGATATGTTGCCTTTTCAAAAGCTAAGCAAATCTGTACTAATATTACTCCTCCATGAAAGAACGAGTGAGCTATATACATAATCAGAGCGCATATATATATAAAAGAGCCTCAAATTGCTGATCGGACGTACGGAGCTTTGCCAAGGATAGCAACTGAAAACTCAACAACTTCGAAAGTTTCATAAATGTATGTATTTCTTATACATATATATTTACCAGACTAACCTTATTATGAATATATATCTCTCTCTCCCTATATATATATATATATCGATACACAGGTTTTTTGCTCCTAATTTATGGATAATGCAGGATGTACATGTGCGTGTATATGAATACATAGTCACTCTCTATTTAATTTCCACGTCTAGCTAGGCTATTGGATGCATGTTTTTATGATATATATATATATATTAAATTGATACTTGGTTCATAATGTCAGAGGCAATATTTGTACATATAAGAGACATATAGGGGGGGAATTCTTTTTTTTTTCCCCTCTACTTCTTTTTGCTTTTTCTTGTAAATTTGTTGTGCATACGATATCTCTTGACAATATAATGCTAATGGCCGCATGGGCATCGATCCTTGCAAAGTCACGTCCATTCACTCATTCATTCAGTCTTTCAATTTCTCTGTCTACAAATATATATATATATATATATATATGATGTACTAAGCAAGTAGTGGGACGCATTAATTAATATCTGCATGGAATCTTTAATTTTTCAGTACGCTAGCTACGAAACAAAGCATAATAACTTCAACGTTTAGGTTTCAATAGAAACCAACAAATTTATTTTTTAAAAAAAAAAAAAAAAAAAAAAACACACACACACACAGAAATTAATGAGTATTTCAATTTTTTTATAACAAAATAATCTCTATCTGTGTAGCTCCTTTAGGTTTCAATAGAAACCAACAAATTTATAAAAAATAAAAAAAATAAAAAAAAAACACACACACACACACAGAAATTAATGAGTATTTCAATTTTTTTTATAACAAAATAATCTCTATCTGTGTAGCTCCTTTAGGTTTCAAAAGAAACCAAAAAATTTAAAAAAAAAAAAAAAAAACACACACACACACAGAAATTAATGAGTATTTCAATTTTTTTATAACAAAATAATCTCTATCTGTGTAGCTCCTTTAGGTTTCAATAGAAACCAACAAATTTATAAAAAATAAAAAAAATAAAAAAAAAACACACACACACACACAGAAATTAATGAGTATTTCAATTTTTTTTATAACAAAATAATCTCTATCTGTGTAGCTCCTTTAGGTTTCAATAGAAACCAAAAAATTTAAAAAAAAAAAAAAAAACACACACAGAAATTAATGAGTATTTCAATTTTTTTTATAACAAAATAATCTCTATCTGTGTAGCTCCTTTAATTACCTGAAAATGATTGGCATTAGGGTTTAAAGTTCAAACTATAATTAATATATAAACTTGACAAGAAGGTTAATTAATAGCGGGATCATGTTGGTATACATTCTCACACCTTAATTCTCAGGTAATTAAAGGGGCTACATAGATAAATAACATGAAGGGATAAAAGACCCAAAGATTGGAAAATTTTGTTTAAATACATGCTGCTGATATATATATATATATAATAGTGAGTGAAAAGCCCACAAAGTAAAAAAAAAAGGCTTATTAGAAATCTATATTAGCAATATATATAAGTGGATTGCAGGTAAGAACTTAACATCTGAAAGCTTAAACAGTAGAATGCTTTATAGTCCACGTGAAATGAACATTAATATCGATGGAGGTGTGATAGGAACTGATCTCTTTGGCTATATATATATATACACATATATATATATAGAGAGAGAGAGAGAGAGATGATAATTAAGCAGTGGAGATTAGAATAGTGACAGATTTTTATTATAAATAGTAATCTCTTTCGCTACTTTCGATTCAGAAAACAGTGTTTGTATGAAAGAGGGACTGAGGGAAGTAAGAAGTCGTATAAAACGAAATGCATTTGAAATGGAAAGTTGATCACAAAATGCAAAAAAGTAGATCCACTTAATCAAACAACTCAACGGATGCATCGGGAAAACAACATTTCATGTACACAGCACCTACTATTTATTATGTCCGCCTGTTGGCCGGGGCATAGTTATATGTAAGACTAGAAAATTTTTGGGAAAAAAAAATGCACTTATAATACAAAGAACAAACTTAGAAGAACATAGCCAGTAACCTGAAAGTAAGAGAAAAACGTTACAAAAATATATACCTTCGATTCAAACTTCATAATATAATATATATCCAGTGAATGAAACGCCAAGTACAGAGCAGTTGAATCCATGCATTGGAAGTTTATCAAAACAAGTACAAGCAACAAAAACCGAGAATATATATATACATACATACATACATACATACATACATACATAGCCTGCAACTCCAACACACAAGAACAAATTAAGAAAGACGTATATAGAATTAGCAAACTCGAAAAGCAATCATCCCTCAAGACCAGAAATGAAAGGGAAAGATACATATAATTAAGATACAGAAAACAAATATAAGCAAACAAACAAAAACTTGTAGTTCGAGGTCATAATTAAGATCTGGGTTTAACTTTTGGATTTCTGAAGAACACATATAAGCCTGAACTGCAGGAAAATTGTGCATAAAAAAAAAAAAAAAAACAAGAAAAAAGAAGCTGCCTGCAGAGAAAATATTGGCTGGGGGGAATGAAGCCTGGTCCGAGAGAGAGAGTATTGGAGAGAATCAACCTCCATGACCTCGAGCCAGACAACATTCCTCTCAGCCGAACTTTCACAAAAGCAAAAAAAAAAAAAAAAAAGAAGCTTTCTATGATATTATAAAGAAGAGATATATAGGTTTCAAAGAGGAAGAATATATATATATATATATATATATGCAATTAGTTTGAGGGGAATGAAGCCTGGTCCGAAGCTTTGTTAGGGATTTGCTTTTGTTCTTGGCTTATATATTAAGTTGAGAGAACTTCTCTCGGAGAAAGCCTCGAGCCAGCCAACATTCCCCTCAACGCCATTGTTTTCCCCACTCTGAAAACCCTAGCAGACTCACAATGCCACACCCTAGTGTTTTTCAATTTATAGGGAGAGAGAGTGAGCGATGGTTTTTTTTTATTAATTTTTTTTTTATCCTTATGGAGAGAAATTTATATATATATATATATTATAACAACCTATGTATTTTTTTTTTTTTGAAAAAAAAGTATAAAGAAAGAGGAGATTTTTTTTTCCTTTTATAATAATAAGGATAAGGAGAGAATAAGTTCATATGATTTTTAAATCATTCAGATGACCCAAAAAGGGTATTCAAATTAACTACAGAAAATAAGCAAAAGCATTAGACGTGTTTTCTAGAGAGAGTTCGGGAGAGAGTGAGAAGGTACTAGGAGTGGCTGGAGCTCCGGAACCGCTTTCGGTAAATTTTCAAAAATAAACTGAAAACTAATGAAACATTATCTAAATAAATTTTCAAAAAAAATAAATCATTTAAATAATGAACATTTCTGAATTCTTAGTTTTTATTTATTTTTAAGTAAAAAAAAATGAAAATAAAACTAAGAATTCAGAAATATTCAAAATTTTAGTGAATATTTTGTTTAGATTTTAAGTATAGTGCTTAATCCCATTTTCATTTGATTAGATTCGATATTGATAACATGATCCAAGTATAAGAATTTAGGCAATATTATTGCTAAGTAGCCCTCACAATAAAAGCACATTATATATAAAGAAACACAATACATATGATAGATATGTGGACATTATATATTGCTAATTTTTAATCAATCCCTTCTAAATTACATTGTGATGTTGTTGTCCTGAGTTGACAACAGTAGTGGAAATGACCTGCTGCTGCCGGTCGTCCTGCCGACCTGTTACCTGCTACAACCAGTTGTCGTAAATCGCATCAGTCAAACACAGAAAAAGACAAAACGAGTATTTTTTAAAATTGGGAGTTACGACACAGGGCAGCTAGGTGGGTTTTAATGCGATTCTTTCCATCATTACCTTATTATTTTTGGCCTTTTTTTTCCCCTACTTTTCAAACTGCCCTGTGCCTGCCTGTACCATCATCAACCCGCACGTTCAGCTCCAGGGTGACCTAATTTCCGCAAAAATTATAAACAATGTGTATATATATATAGGACCTTCGGCAGTCCCCCAGTTTGAAATTGGGGGACCTGTCCCCCTATAATTTATGAGCCACTGATTTCAATAGGTGGATTTATTTTCTTTACAAACCAATCCAATGGGGTACTAAGGGGCAAAAAATATAAAAACTTGAAACCGGTGCTAACAATGACGGAGCTAGGACTTTCTAGAGCCTTTATAAAGGCATTCCAATTCGCTCTAACTAAAGCCAGTACAATCCCTTAACCAACAAAGGGGTGCTAAAACGATAAAATTTAAACAGATTGCTATGCTATGTATCCTAAATGAAAAAGGATCACAAAATCTTCCCTAAATGAACTGAAAAATAAACCCTAAATGAAAAAATGTTTTCAATGAGAATTCATAATATGAAATTCGATTAGAGTTT